TTTTACCCATATGAGACGTGTTAGCTAGATTGCCTCAAAACAAGAGCACTTCTTTTGGCCAATCTAGCAAAAAAAAAAAAAAGACCTTCATAGATCACAATGTTTTTAGAATAATGACATATAAATAGGTCCAGTTTTCATAATCAATACCCAATATTTTGAAATACAGTACTGTGGTATATGGTGTCCCATAGAAAACCTACCGCAGGCCCCAAACATCATCCTAGCTCATGTGTTACCACATGTCACTGCTACCTAGGAGTCAAGAATTTAAACAGCAGGAGCTCAGTTCCAGTCCATTCCATCAACAAGGGTTCTTTACTGTGCCATTTCTAATTGCTGAGAGTCTGGAGCTACACAATGTGACCTGGGAAATCGGTTCTTCAGCAGAAAGAGAGAGGCTTTCTATGCAACAGTGCCAACCAGATCTCGAGCTCTCCGTTCAGCTCCTCAGACGATTGTCTGAAAATGGCAAATGGAGCCAACATTGAAAAGATGCAGAGAGAAAATTCAGCTGAGGTTATTTCCAATGAAGACAAAGGTAAAAACCCTCACTGGCCACCTTCCCTTCTTATTCACCACCCAGGATTATGGCTTCTCCCACTATTTCTGCACCTAGAACAAAACCCAAGAATCATCTGACGTGGGAACAGGGGCTGGTGGGGAGGGATGGGGCATCTGCTCAAGAGTCAGCACTGTGAGGGGCACCGGCACCAGGCACCACAGAGAAGTGACAGCCAGGGCCCGCCTGGGTGTATGAGGGTCTAGCCCAGTCAAATAGACATGCTGTCCTCAGAACCCTAGGATGGCAGCTGAAGTCAAAAACGTGAATGGGCGTGAACCTGCCGTGCAAGAAAAGAAACCGCTATCTATTATCCGCAGCACTTTCACAAGTCAATGAACAAAACATCTGACTCATGCATTAGAATACACGATACTGTCTCCTTAGACACCTTTGCCTTATGCAGATACAGCCCCATCAAAGATGTCTTAAGCATTTCAAATTGTTCCACAGGCTCAACTTTTCCACTTCTAAAAGAGAAAATATTAAAATACGGTTAAATAAAATCAAATATAATTACCATTTCATGATTTTTTTTTTGTTTCCAGGACAACAAGTAACTGAATTTTAAGCCACCTCCTCTTTCTTCTACATACAGCTTTTAAAATAAGTAAGTCAATAAACAAATCATTAACATCCACTTGAGAAATACCCTTCCAGGCAACATTTTTAATGGCCAAGAAGAATATGATCATCTTTAATAGAAACCCACTTACAAATTTAAGACACAGAAACTGTGTGCAACAGTATAGATTAAAATTTACAAATTTTAGACAGTAACTTTCCAGAGGAAGTAGCCACATTGATGTATTTTCCCAGTTGGCGACTATGTGGTTTACGTACATGAATTTAATAAATCCTTTAAAGCAAGAACTCGATGAAGCTGCACAAGGTTGTTTTCCTCAGTGTAATGCTGCTTCAGCATGAGCACTTTGGTATTTACAGATATTCATGACTATGAAAGGGAAAGGAATACAGGGACAAGCTGTCCTTTCCTGCTTAGACCTTGGATCTTGGTGAACACATCAGCATGAGCGCTGCACTGCCTCATAGCATCTGGGAGAATGTGGAAAAGCAGTATGATTTTGAGCTGAGCCTCAAGAAGTTCTGAGCCTTGCATGACTCATGCAGCTCCACAATCATCTCTCCTCCCGACTCTGACTCGTTGTATCTGGGCCAAAGGAGGAATTTATCTGTGGTAAATATTATCCAGAGGAAATCAGGATAGAAGTGAGTTAGGATAAAAAAGATAAAAGCACAAGAGATCGGGATGGGGAAGGAAATGGTTTTACTCCAATGTGTAAAACCATACAATTTAGTTAAAAGCAAAAGTAATTTACCTAAAGTATTGAGAAAATGGTCTCAGTCTCCCATATTGCAGAGCAAATACCTGCTCAGAAGAGCGCAGAGAGAATCTGTTTCCTATCTCCAGGATACAGAACGAGAAAATGTTTCCAACCACATCTCTATCTCATCAGCAGGAAAGCAAACCTGTTGCTTATGCATGTGAAACAGCAGGCATTTCAGCCACTAAATATCCCAGAGCCTGTCACCTTATGTGAAAGCAAAAAGCCTAAGAAAACAGCAGCTGCCTTAGGGCACTGAGACACCCAGATCTACATAGGAATCATCAGTTTTCTTTGAAGTAAACTGAAAATGTGGGTCTCAGGCAGCCTGACTTCAAAGGCGCACTCAGTATTTCTCCCTCAACCTGATACTGGGAGAAAAAGTGTGTCCTTGAGAGTCTATCTTTATTTGGTGACGGAAAAAAAGGTGCTTCAGAATTGGTCATGATATATTAGGGGAAAGTCTAGCTAGGAAGCAGACGCTTGGCAAATGCAACACACTCCTATACTTCTCTGGGTAATTTAACCTGTTTATGAGTTCTTCTGGAACTCTTCATTCAGAAAAGTTTGCACAGGCTTAGATCTTTGCAGAGTATGTTATTATCCCTATCAAAATGTGTTTTAGAAGTAGACTCAGCTGAAACTCTGAGAGGAACTGAGTAGAATGACAATATGCAGGAAGCATATTCTATCTAACTATAAAATGCAACAGTTCGCATTTACATGTAGCAAAGTGAGTTATGACGTTCGCGCCATGCCTCAAGCTTTCTACACACCAGCAGCATCTGGGAAGGACAAAAGGAACAGCACATCTTCAGCATGCGCTAGAAAATAGCAACATTCGTTACAGTATTTATTTAATACCTCCATTTATGTGCTTACAGATCACAAGGAGAAAACAAAGATATAGCCATTCATGCAAGTTCAAAGGCAACCAGAAGACATCATTTCCATTCATGCAAGTTCAAACGCAACCAGAAGGCACTTCTTTGCACAGTTTTGTGAATTCACGCCCCAAGAAGTTGTTCTAGAGTTTACAACAGCAACACAAGTCCCACAAATCACATGAGGTATCATTGTCAGGATGAAATTTTTCTGCTCCTGTATTTGAATAAATTGCAAAAACATTCGATGCAAAGGGCTTATTCTTTAAGAGCCTCACTTACGCATACATACAATTTCTTTGTCTGGTCAATAAACACGAAAATATATCACTTTCCAACCCATCTAACATTTTTCTTTCCTTTTATCAAAGAGTCATTAAAAACATTGCAAATGTAAACACTGGTCACTGAAATATGATTAATGAAAGTAAGTGAATGAGCTAAAAAAGTTAGCATGCCAAAGACTTATGTCAAGTTTGTACTTTTATCTAAAATTTGATGTTCCATTGTGGAGTCCTGATTTGGCACAGATGTACATTACACATCATTGTTTTTTGTTTGTTTGGTGGTGGTGGTGGTGGTTGTTGTTGTTGTTGTTTTGAGGCAGAGTCTTACTGTGCTGTCCAGGCTGGAGGGCAGTGGTGCGATCTTGGCTGGCTGCATCCTGGACCTCCCAGGCTCAGGTGATCCCCTGTGTCAGCCTCCAGTGTAGCTGAAACGACAGGCGTGTGCCACCACACGCAGATAATTTTTGTATTTTTAGTGGAGCCCAGGTTTTGCCATGCTGCCCACGCTGGTCTTGAATTCCTGAGCTCAAGCAACCTGCCCACCTTGACCTCCCAAAGTGCTGGAATTACAGGCATGAGCCACCGTTCCTAGCCAAATCCTTTTTAAACAAACAAAAACAAATCTTCTTGCTTCTGTTTCCTCCTAAAACATATCGAAGTCTCGCAGTCTGAAAAGTACTTTTCCGATCCAGGATCCTTTAATATCTTCATGCCATTTTCTCATTGTAAACACATATCCATATGAAATTGTCATGAAAACTACATTTGAAATTCAAGTGGTGATGGTTTTGACTCCACGTTAACATTTTAGAGGAAATAACATTTGGTGGAAATGTGCATTAAACATTATTACAAATTTAATGAAAAAGCATGCGTTTGTACAAGATAGGCTATCCCTAGGTATATTAAGTCCCATGATTTTTTTTGACTGTTATCTAAATCGAACATGAAATATACTTTATCTATAGGCATGACCATTACATCATGTGACTTACTGAATTCTGTCTAGTCTTCAGCCCCGTAGAAATTATTATCTACATCAATTTTGCTGATTTTTTTCATCTCTGTTTTGAGTAGGTTCCATTCAAGGCATAATCAAAACCTTTGTCAAGTACTTATATAAAATTTCAATCCCCAATTTTATTTTTAAAAACTCATTTGCACCTTCCACTACTCGGGCAGTTGTCTCTGACTCTGTTTCCTTAATTGTATAAAGCCTAATTTCACAGAATAGATTTCAATCAACCGTGCCTACTACTGCACCTCAGGGTCACCACCACAACACTGAGCTGACCCCTGAGAGAAACCAACTATATCTCACAACCACCAACTTCAGAAGCTGTGTTCCCTAGCTACAATTGGAAGCAATGCACCTGTGCAATCAGACTTCAGGAAGCCTTCTTTCCACTTAATAGATGGGTCTATGTAAATGGCCCCCAGAAAAATCATCATTGTGTGCCCATGATCATATTTTAAAATACATAGTTCATAATATTACTTCTCTTAAAATCAAAGAATTAAAGCTCACATTTTTTTTTCTAAATAAATTTGCTTTAAAATGTAGACTCCAAATATTCCTGACCATTTTGATGGGCCAGTCCTTAATCTATGAAGAGTTGAACATATCTATAAAATTCTATTAAGCTTTCATTTCTGAAGAGGAATAAAACTATACAGCATTGTCTTTTGTTACTGAAATGTAATTTCAAAATAAAATAAAATCGAAAAGCAATTCACACTAGACCTAGGAATTTCCTAAATGGATGGAAGCACTTTTGAACACAGGTGGGATTTAATTAAAATGACATGCGTTGTTGTTAAGAGAACAAGTTGCAGCAGTACTTACTAGTTCATTCTGCTTGTTTCTGTGTCTGGTCCACTTATAAGGAAACTCAACAGTAAGGATACTCTAATATTTGCTTTATCACACGTGGGTACAATTGGTTGATGGTGGGGTGTCTATTCGACTTTTGTTTTCTTTATTATCATTCAGATCTGAATCTTTGCGAAGGTGACACTTGAACACTTGCTTATAAGCCTTCCTGAAATTTTCAGAGAGAAATGCATATATGATAGGATTCACCGAGGAATTGCTGTACGCCAGGCAGTGGGCGGTGATTCTGAAGAAGAAGGAAGCCGGTGTCAGTGGGAAAACTCCAAACTCAACCCAGAGATGGATGATGTGGTGAGGCAGCCAGGAGATTCCAAACACCACGACCACCACCAGAATCGTCTGTGCAGTCTAGAAAAGAAGAGGAGGAGGAGGCAGCGAAGGAAGGGGAGGGAAGGAGGAAGCCAGGGAGAAGGAGAAGGAGGGGAATTCATTGATTATAACAGAAAAAGAATCCAGCATTTTAAAATACACCCTAAGCTAATTTTACGTATATTTTCATGAGATAAAAAATGGATACATCTGCTTTAAGTGTTAACCTTCACTTCCCATAATACTTCTGTTCATAAATTCTCCAAGACCTGTCGTTACCTTCCAAAGTCATAATTTTACAATATATGTGAAATGCATTATGAGAAGTATGCTTCAAGTCATGGAACTAGAAAAGTACAAAGATTAGAGGCTGTAACTTCTAAACCAGCAAAACCATTCAAGCGTGGGCCCACGGCAGCGGTACCACCAGCACTGCCTCTCAGAGGAGGGCTGCCCTTCTCTCCAGGTAGTCCGTCACCTCCACGAACAAGCGTGTAGGGGTTTACTTCCCCTTGTTGAACTCTGGCAAATTCAAGACCTAATTAATTGATGCACCAATGTGTTTCATTTCAGTTTCAGTCTATGGTCCGAATTACCCCTTTTGCTTTCTTTCATTTCAACTCTTTCTTTGCTGCTCCTAAATAAGAAATACTTGGAAGTCAGAGAAAGAGTCTTCATGTTTCTTTTGTAGTTTCTACTGAGAAAATGATAGGAGGAAGCCATGGCTGATTAGAGACCTCAACAGGAGAGGACATCAACCTCCTGAGATAAATAACCACGCACCTGTGTGCCTGGCCACGGCCTCCTCGCTGGCCACAAACCTATGGGGCTGGAATTAAGCCTATGGCAACTTCACCTGTTCCACACATGTTGAAAGACAAGAGCTCTGTAGCTTAGTTTGTGATTAATTGAAACTCTATCTCTCTGGGTTCAAAGAAAAGACAATGATCTATTTTATTAAAATGCTTTAATTAAGGGAGTCTAATGTTTTCTAAACTATAAAATACAAAGCAATCAGTTGGTTCTCTCCTCAAATGGATTGTTCCCTAACAAGTGCACCTCAAAACCCACACAACCTCTAGAGCCTCGATGGTCACAGCAGAGCCATCGAAACTAGCAGACCGACGGGGCCACATGCATTATTTCACCAAGTCCCCTTTACGATCCTATGAAACAGACCCTATCATGACCCACAGGTTGTAGATGAGGAAACGGAGACTCAGGAGGAGAGAAGCAAATGCCCAGTGTCCCACAGCTGAATGCAAAGTTGGGGCTGGCAGCCCGGCTGACATGATCCCCAGCCCATGCGCTGCACAGCTGGGGTGCAAGGGAACCTCCAGTAAATCAGGAGCCATACCTCCCTCTCTGCACACAACACGCAACAGGGCTGCTTCGCAAGAAGTATTATGCTAAATGTGTCAGAATAAAGGCCCCCATGAGACAACCTCCATCTCAGTTTCCTGGCTTGAAGGGAGAGAGCACTTCCATGTCCTCCTCTGCTTGACAGCTTCAGCAATCTGTTCTCTTTACCAGCGAGCTTACTTCTCATAGGAAATATGAGAAAAAATAAACATTAAGCATGTAACAGGTGCACACTTTCAGCCCCTCGTCCAAAGATTAGGACCCAAGGAACCCCTTTCTCTCAGACATACTCCAGGCTACAGTATTTTAGAGCATGCTTGGACATGGGGAAAGGAAGCATCAGTGTGAGCCAGCAGCAATCCCCCTGATATGGTTTGGCTGTGTCCCCCACCCCCCGCCAGATCTCAACTTGAATTCTCGTTTCCATAATCCCCATACATCGCGGGAGGGACCTGGTGAAAGGTAACTGAATCATGGGGCAGTTTCCTCATGCTGTTCTCATGATAGCAAGTGAGTTCTCACAAGATCTGATGATTTTACAAGGGGTTTCCTCCGACCCTTTGCTCTCATTCTTCTCCTTCTGCTGCCATGTGAAGAATGATGTGTTTGCTTCCCTTTATGCTATGATTCTAAGTATCCTGAGGCCTCCCCAGCCCTGTGTAACTGTGAGTCAATTAAACTTTTCCTTTATAAATTACCCGGTCTTGGGTATGTCTCTATTAGCAGCGTGAGAACAGACTAATACAGTAAATTGGTACTGCAGAGAGTGGGGTGCTGCTCTAAAGATACCAAAAATGTGGAAGCAACTTTGGGACTGGGTAATAGGCAGAGGTTGAAACAGTTTAGAGGGCTCAGAAGAAGACAGGAAAATGTGGGAAGGTTTGAAACTTCCTAGAAACTTGTTGAATGACTTTGACCAAAATGCTGATAGTGACACGAACAATGAAGTCCAGGCTAAGGTGGTCTCAGATGGAGATGAGAAACTTCTTCAGAAGTGGAGTAAAGGTAACTCTTGCTATGCTTCAGCAAAGAGACTGGTGGCATTTTGCCCCCGCCCTAGAGATCTGTGGAACTTTGAACTTGAGAGAGATGGTTTGGAATTGGAACTTATGTTTACAAGGGAAGCAGAGCATAAAGTTTGGAAAATTTGCAGCCTGACCGTGCAGTAGAAAAGAAAACCCCGTTTTTGGAAAAGAAATTGAAGCAGCCTGCAGAAATTTGCATAAGGAATAAGAAGCCAAGTGTTTGTCCCCAAGACAGTGGGGAAAATGTCTCCAGGGTGCCTCAGAGGTCTTCATGGTAGCCCCTTCCAGCACATGCCCAGACGCCTAGGAAGAAACATGGTTTCATGTCCAAGCCCAGGGTATGCTGCTTTGTGTGGTCTTGGGACTTAGTGTCATGTGTCCCAGCTGCAGCTAAAAGGAGCCAAAATGTAGCTCAGGCCATTGCTTCAGTGGCTGTAAGCCCCAAAGCCTTGGCAGCTGACCCATGATGTTGGGCCTGCAGGTGCACAGAAGTCAAGAATTGAGGTTGGGGAACCTTCGCCTAGATTTCAGAGGATGAATGGAAATGCCTGTTTGCCCAGGCAGAAGTCTGCCGCAGGGGCAGAGCCCTTATGCAGAACCTCTGCTGGGGCAGCGTGGAATGGAAAGGTAGGGTTGAAGCCCACACACAGAGCCCCCACTGGGGCATTGCCTAGTGGAGCTGTGAGAAGAAGGCCACCATCCTCCAGATCCCAGATCCACCAACAGCTTGCACCCTGCACTTGGAAAAGCCATAGACACTCAACACCAGCCAGGAAGCCAGCCTGGAAGGGGGTTATGTCCTGCAAAACCACAGGGTTAGAGCTGCCCAAGGCCATGGGAGCCCACCTCTTGCATCAGCATGACCTGGATGTGAAACATGGAGTCAAAGAATGCCCCACTGAATTCAGACTTGCGTGGGGTCAGCAGCCCCTTCATTTTGGCCAATTTCTCCTATTTGGAACGGGTGTATTTTCCCCAATGCCTGTAATCCCATTGTATCTACAAAGTACAAATGGTACTTGCTTTTGATTGTAAAGGCTCATAGGTGAAAGGGACTTGCCTTCTCTAAGACTTCAGACCCAGACTGTTGAGTTAATGCTGGAATGAGTTAAGACTTTAGGGGAATGCTGGAAGGGGATAATTGTGTTTTGAAACGTGAGGACAAGAAATTTGGGAGGGGCCAGCAGCAGTAAGACATGGGTTGGCTGTGAGTTCCCACCCAAATCTAACCTTGAATTGTAGTTCCTATCATCTCCATGTGTGGTAGCAGGAACCCCACAGGAGGCAACTGAATCATGAGGGCAGTTACCTTCACGCTATTCTCATGATAGTGAATGAGTCCTCATAAGATCTGGTGGTTTTATAAGGGGATTTTTCTCCCTTTACTCTCATTCTTCTCCTTCCTGCCACCATGTGAAGAAGGACATGTTTGTTTACCCTGCCACCAGGATTGTACGTTTCCTGAGGCCTCCCTAGCCCTGTGAAACTGAGTCAATTAAGCCTCTTTCTTTATAAATCACCCAGTCTTGGGTATGTCTTTATTAGCAGCGTGAGAACGGACCAATGTCCCCACTCTCCTCCCAGGCCTCGCTTGGTTTCACAGAGCAGGAAAGCAGACCTCCGTCCCTGGCCTTCTCTCACAGTGCACAGGTGTGGTGAAGGGTTCACCTGTGGCCACCAGTCTGTTTCCTAAACTGAAATACTCTGACTCAAATGGATGAGTGGGAGAAGAACAGTTGGAGGAAAAGAAGAAGAAGAGGGAGAGAAAGAATGAAAATAGAGCTTCGTATTTCTTGTAACTTCACATGGAGGAAAGACTAAGACATAGGAAAATGACTCCGTGGCTGAGACAGCACTGTCCCACCACAGGCTCTTCCTGGGGACACAGGACTTCCTACAACGGTCCTCCATGGACCTCACACCCTGCAGGACTATCACAGAGTGGTGGGAACCACACTGCTAGAAGGGGAAATCCTGCATGGCAAAAGGACTCTTCTTATCACTTCCCGTGACCTGGAGTCCCACTGCATAGAAAATGACAACCAGACTCTAACTCATGAGATACCAGCTCGTCAAAGATTGACACGAGGCAGCAAAGTAAGACGTGAGATGAAGTTTATCAAACAGAGGGACTGGAAGGCAGGAAGCTGTGGCCAGGATCCAGGCAGAGACAGTAGAGGGAGGGCTAGATCTCAGATTAAGACCAGGACAGGTCCCACTAGCAAGGTGGATAGGAGGTGAGCATGAAGCTCCCTTTCGAGAGGCACCAGGGATTGCACAAGACCCCAGGACTTACAGCATGTCTGTGTTCCCGCCTGACCATGCCATAAGCTGGTTGTATGACCTTTGCAAAATGCCATAAACTCTCTGAGCCTCAACTTCCTAATCTGAGAGTAGGATTAACTAATGCAATGATTCCTAGACCATGCCTCATACACTTAAACACGACAAACAACTCAGGTATAAAAATCTGAGTATGGGTTTTATAGGCTACAAGCTTACATATTAAAGCCATTTACTGCACGACACACAAAGCAAACAGATAATGTGCTCACATATATTAAGGGAGTGCCTGCTATCAATCCATTTATCCATTAGTGGATGAGAAATTCCATTCTCAGATGATTCAATCAAAACAATCTAGATATAATT